GGGGGGGGGGGGGGGGGGGGGGGGGGGGTCTCACAAAGCTCTCTGTAACTGCATCTAGTGACATGACATATTTATCGCAAACACTCATGATTTCTTTCTTTGAAATTCGAAATAAAGTCTTATCACGAGTTGCGGTGGGATCCTAGAACTTACCAAGGAAAAATACCAACTCATCCTTAACAGTATGGAACCAAACAGAAGCGAACTACAACAGAAGTTTTCTAGAATTTAGTTGAAAAACTGTTTACTGAAAAACTTATACTTCGAGAAAAATTCATTTATAAAAATAAAAAAATAAAAACATAAATAAACAGAAGATCAAAGGAAAAGACCTCAGGCTTTAAGTCACGATGCACAACGCCTTGAAGATGACAAAACGCAACTACACTTAAAATCTGAACAATTATACTTTTGGCATCTTCCTCTGGGTATCTTCCTCCTCTACAATGAGGGAAATTATACTTTAGAATAATTTAAATAAGTCAAAGGCAACACAATATCATTGTTAAGATAAAGATAGAATACCTTGACAAAATTCTGTCTAGAAGTTCCCCACCTTCACATAACCTAAAATGGAATTATAAACAAGATACGTCAAATTGAAATAAAATTATCTCCAGAAACTGAACTGCAAAAAACAAAGAAAACTGTAATGGTTTATCATTTTGATGCTCATTTATAATATAGGGTTATCCAAACTCATTCAGTTCAGACCAAACTGTATACGAATAACAAAGAGAATGCCACATTTTGCTCATTTATTGCATGTTCAAGAAATAAGATTATCAAAATTCACATATTTCAAATTGAATCCATTATGACCTGTGGATAGGCAAAGAAAGAAATATGGTAGAATTTGAAAGATTCAAGAAACTTAAAAGTTCAAACAACGACTGTGACATCCCCTATGTAGTACAACATGGTGAATTGCAATTGTATCACAGAGAAATGAAATAAAAGTTCAAGATAATTTTTCAGATCCAGAATGATAAGAAATAGAAAAGCGGGAAGACATACTCCATGACTATGTAAACGTTATTGGCATCCTCACATGCATCATGAAATTTTACAAGGTGCCTATGCCCAGATAAAGACTTCAGTATTTTCACCTCTCTCCGAACATCTTCAATTGATATTGCTGTCGTCATCTGCCAAATGGATATTTTAAGAAACACAATGATAGGAAATGCAATTAATGAGGCAGAAGAAAAGGATACAACTCTTTTTTTTTTTTCTTTTTTTTTTGTAAGAAACCGAGCTTACATAGACCAAAGAAAAGGATACATGCAGTGAATACATCTGAACAGATGAAGTAATACAACCAATTTGTAGTGTTTAGAGAGCTATAAGTTCACTTTTAGAGAGAGAAGAGAGTGAACCAGATGACAGTCTAACCTCCTAGAAAATATAAAGATTCAAGGATGGACTTCTCCAATTACGGAAGATTTAATAGAGACATAACAGGTGGTAGTTTAACCTCCTAGAAAATATAAAGATTCAAGGATGGACTTCTCCAATTACGGAAGATTTAATAGAGACATAACAGGTGGTAGTCCAATGCACCATCCAGGGAGAACTTGTTTCAAATAGGCAATAATACATGTGGGAACTCATCACAAGCAAACTTGGATATTACTTTACTATGCATGTCCATTTAAATATTTAAATCCATCTTTGTCTCCCTCTCATGGGGTATTATGCATAGCTTAAATGCTGAATGCCAAAGCGATCATTTCGCACCTTGTTCCTTTGACTCTCTCAGTATTGGTCAGATAAGATTGAAGCTTTTGGTTGGTATTTTGTATGGCCTGAAACTATTTCTGACATACTGGCTACGGTTTTTTGTGAGACATCCCTTCAGTGGTGTTAAGAAGACTTTGTGGCTAGCTATCAACTGAGCTTCTTTTTTGGAATCTTTGGTATGAATGTATTGGTAGAATTTTCAAGGATGTTTCTTCGAATAGTAATTGTTATATGGATTTGGTTTTGTTAAATCTTTTATGGGTGTAAACGTAAACACTCCTTCAGTAACTATAGTATTTTTTCTCTTTACTCCCCAATTGAAAACTTTTCATGAAATTCACTTTGACGATGGGAGCTTTTATCTCCCCCTCATTTCATCTATCAACGAAATATACCTCTTCTCAAAAAAAAAAAAAAAAATATTTAAGGAGAATTTATCCAGACTAATGATGCTGTAAATTAAGTTGAATTTATAATTCCACATATAAGCTGAATGAAATTTTTATGGTCTGTAAAAAAAATGATTCCAATAATATATGACAGTGATTCCATGTTGAACCCTGTACAAATATTGGCCATTGATGTTCCAAATTTTCAGTGGAAGTATATTCTGGACTAATGAACTATGTAGGAGATTACTGGAGTGATCAAAAGACATTGGACAGCTTATGACTTGTGTACTCGAGGCAAAGTCAGAACTCTTCTCTTACAATGGACGCTACATGCCTGCCCATGCAGTGCAATCACTAATCCCTTCAGTATCCCACCTAGGGCTAAGCGTACATTCACAAGAGTGAAACTCAATTGTAAGAACTGACATAGGGGGAGGAAAAATCACCCAAGCACCGAGCACGTCAAGGACTTACAATCATTGACATTTTTACACCAAGAAAATATTTTCATGGAGACTGACAAGCACAACACTAAGAAGACAGACAATTTTCTTTTATTCAACAAACCTAGCATCAATATTTATTATCTGTCATAATTTGCACATGTAGACCCCCGTTTAGCAAAGCCATGGTTTTTATTTATAATCAATTTTATCCTCTTCTACCATCAGGTAACCTTATTTTCTCAAAGGTTAAAGAAAGCCACAATGAAATTTCTTCAATTGGCAACGTCTGCTATACAAACTAAAAGCCAACCTTCAAGAATTTCCCAGTTCTAGTTTCCATCATCTCACCAAAACAATCTTTAAACCTTTTGCATCCATCATGCAATTTTTTACTGCACATGGTCCTCATTTAGTTCATGAATGAAAAAATAAATCAACATAAAAAGGGAGATCTTGACTTCTGATGTTTTATCTTCCTTTGTTTTCCTTCTTAATTATTAGTACTTATTATTAGTATTGCGAGAACTAATTCTTAAATTGAAAGATATAATATAACAAGACCCTAGGCGAATCAACAAAGTCAGTTACATATTTATGAAGCATGTAGGGTTAATAACCTTATAAGCATAATTCTAAACAAATCATGAACTGTTCGCTTTTGAGAAGAGAAATATCAATATCAAATATGATGAAAATAAAATTACATGCCAAAAAAATGTCAAAATGTTTTGAGTCAAAATTCAAAACTTTTTCCCTATTATTTCTCATTGTTACTGTGACCATCATACAACAGCAATTGTAAACTAATATATGATCTTGGTGTTGAATAGGTTTAGGTGTCTAACATATGTTGGAGACAAACTAGATACCAAAACTCAAGTGTGACGGATTACATGAGCATAATCTACGTCAAATGTGCATCAATTCTAGAAACTATGCCAGAATCCTCAAAATGGTCACGCATACTAAGTATCTTTTGAGCTAAGTCGAAATGGATAACAAAAATTCATCATGTCCTAGACTAACTCGGTTTTCTTAAAGTTCAGGCACAAAACCAGTGTATTTTTTCGTCACCTAGAATATCCAGGACCTACCCTGTACCATAACGGAGCACAGAGGAGATCATGTGTGACCCAGAAAATCAAATACTATTAAACCTCTGTAGTGGACAAGTATGACATATCCAAACTCCAATTTCAGCTAGGCTATTATCCCACTTTCATGTCAAAGCTGCCAAATCTTGAGTGCCAAAGTTTCGTGTCATTAAGCAGCAATGCTCCCAATTTGACACTTCCCAAAATCAAATGTTTTGCATCAAAATGTTATAAACTTCATGTAGCAATCTTAAACTTAACGACTTAATTCAGGCAATCCTCCACCGTCCGAAACGCCACCAACCCCAAACCAGAATGAGAGACAGAGACATTGACAGAGAAAAATCTGAGTACACCAAATCCAAAGTACATTTGGACCCAACACAACAAACAAAAATCATATCGGTATCTATGAACAACAGAACCCAATTCCGAAACAGAAGCACAAGTGATGCAGAAGTAGCTAAAAATTATCTAAAAAACAACCCTACAATGTACAAAACAGCAGGCAAATCAAGGCAAACAAAGCAAATTGAAGTGATTGAAGTCAGGAAAGAAGAAACGTATCACATCACAGTAGAGTACCTTCGCTTTAGAGATGATCTTGACCGCAACCGGTTGATCTTTGAGCTCACCTTTCTTCCCTTTAGCAGAGCAAGTATGACCAAAATGCCCTCTCCCAACCTCCTTCCCTAACTCATACTTCGCCCCAAAATTCTTCCCATATCCAAAGCTTTTATCCAGCAACTGCTCCGGCTCCGTCCCCCTCTCCTCTGGGATCGGGCCCTCCTTCGGCTTCGTATACCCA